TTGGTTACATCCCATTCTTTTCATTTAAAAAAAGACTTAAATTATTAGAAACCAAATATGATATAACCAATTCAAGAAACAGGTGTAAATAATAACAGAATTCAAAGGATAAATATTAGTCATATTTGGTCAACTGTGTTTTTTTCTGGAAAATGAAAGAAAAAACTATATAGCAGTCTAAGGAAGGAAACATGAAATTATTTAAGGAATCAAAAGATTTCCCTCACACCTAACTCGAAAATTTTTCTCTGAGATTATTGAAGAAATATCAATGTAATGAAATGAAAAAAGTCACACCTACTGTAGAAGTAATCTTTTATCTATTTTTTAAAAGAAACTTACGATGTACCCTGGGATGTCTTTGTACCTGTAGCAATCCTTCTGCTTTAGCTTCCTAAGTGCTGGAATTATAGGCACAACCCACAACACTTAGCTGGAAGTAATTTTTAATAGCTAACTATTTTTCAATATAATATGGGATTTCCAAACAAAAATGTCAATGCACTAGTGACTATTCATCAATGGGTATTTAGAAGTTCAAATAGCTTTTTGGTGCCTATAAAATTCATAAGATTTTGATATACAGAAGAGACAAGAAGAAAGTTCACAATGAGGAATTAATAGGAGCACAATCTTGGAAGCAAAATCCAAATGATATGGTTAGGCGATAGTAACATTTCTCATATGTATGGATTGTTTAGCAAGGTGTAGTAAAGTACACTTTAAAAAATCACCACAACTGCAATTCTCACATAATTGAATATGAACTTTGCTAAAAATGTGGAGCCACAGGAATCACTGTGGAAAAGGGGGCAGAAAGACAGTAAGAGCCAGGGCTGGTTCATGAACATAGGGAAGCAGAGCTTTCAGGCCACTGGAAGATTGTACATGTGAACTTGTTGTAATGGTGGCATCGAGATAGGACCCATGCCAATTCAGTTTTAAAAGGCTCAGAGGAGAGGAGAGAAATGGGTGGTGGGCCAGCCCTAGACTAAGAACTATTAGAGACTGATTGCTACTGGGTAAGGGAGAGTATGCCTTACATATGATCTCTAAAAGGGATGACTAGACTCCAGTGAATGAATTTACACTGGAGGACATCTAGGTACAAATGCTTGACTGGACAGGATGTAATGTGTAGCAGAATCATGAGGTCTGGTGGAGGGGTGGAGGGGCATGGGTGAAGGAGGGATTCTAAATTTGATTAAGAAGTGTTGTACCAAATTACAAAAGCTCAATAAGCTTTTTTTTTTAATGGGGAGCCAGTCAAATGTTCTGATCTGAAGAATTAAGTGATCTGATTATATTTAAAAATTATAATTCTCTTAGTTAAGGATATATTGAAAGGTAGACATTAGAGGAAAGATGTTAAAAGACTCCTATAGTCATGCAGGGAACTTAATCTAAGACACTAGGTGAAGAAATGAGATCAAAGAAGAAATAAATGGAAATATAAAGGTAGAATTAAAAGTATATAAAAACTGATTGCATATGATACACAAAGAAAAGTCAAATAGTAAATATGACTCTGGACATTCTAAAATGAATTAATTGATCAAGCAAAAATTTTAAAAGAAAAAAGAAACAGAAGGTAGTTCAGGTTTTTAAATATAAATTCAGCTCTGATGGGATATTTATTTGGACTTATGTTTTAGATAGATATTTAAGTATAAAGCTTAAGAGAGATGTAAAGGTTAGGGATGTTTAGGTACATTGTTTATTATTGTACAGGTAATTAGAAATGATGAGAGATGATTCAAACATAAATATAAATTAGAGGACAGAAGAAAAGAAAGATGTAAGAATCTAAAGAGTGCATATACACATACATTTTTGAGATGGAGGTCTCATTATATTGTCTAGGCTGGCCTCAAACTCCTGACATCAACTGGACTTCCTGTCTCATTACAAGTATGAAGTTTAAGTATGGGCCAGTGTACTTGGCATTAGTAACTGTAATTTAAAGGAAAGAGAGGTGGAGAAAAGAGACATGATAAATGACTAAGACACAAACAAGCAAAAAAAACCCCCCACTATTTTATAAAAAACAAGCTTGAAATAAAATTATAGGTTTGATGAGGAACTTAAAAACTAAGAGACCACTGTGTGTAGTTTTGAGAAGAGTGTTGGTGACTTATGAGAAACCATCTTAGAGAGAATTATTAAAAATAGTTTCTAGATATGACAGGTAAAGTGCTAAAAATTTTAAAGAGTTTTTCTATAAAATGACATTTATAACTATATTAAAATGACAGGACACATAAATATATAGTTCATAGTAGACAGAACATTGGATCATGTGATCCAATATATGCATATATCATATACGTCAATATGTAAAATAATTCCTATACATAAATTAGGTATACATTAATCCATAAGGGTTGGATATTATCAACTTTTATTTAAAAGTTCAATTTTAGAATTATTTTACTAGCTTTTTAAGATTAGAAAAATTAATTCCATACTTTTTAGGCCATAGAAAATTAGCTAATTCAATATTTTTGTCTTGGTTTCTTGTTGAGCTTGTCTATTTTGATTTCAACAGGCTAAATAGTGTTTGGAATTTATCTAGCTGTTAGTCTTGAAGGATGGAGTAATATTCATACTCATTTTGTATTTTGTGTACTTAACAACAACAAAAATCCTAGCTGAGATCCATGGAGTCATGTTTCCTTATTATTCAAGATGTGCTGGAAGTTGATAAGAAGAACATAATTGTATGATATTACTTGCACTGTTGTTTTTCACCAATCGATCCAAGTGCTCAGATGCCATATAATTAAGATCTGGACTCTTTACCAGTATAATTATCTTTCTTTACAATGTAACTATCTTATATATCATAAAATCATAGTTTGAGATAACCAACAAATTGTAGATTTTATGAAATATATCTTTTTAAGATTTTGTTTTTATTTTTTTATATTATGAGTATGTCTATGTATTTGTGTATGTGTAGGGAGGGTATATACATGTGAATGCAGTGCCAGTAGAGGCCAGAAGAGAGTATCTGATCCCCTGAAGCTAGAGTTACATGTAGGCCACAAGACATGGATGCTTTGAATCAAACGGGTCATCTCCAAGATCAGTACACATTCTTAACCACTGACCAATCTCTCCAGCCCCATAAAATATATCTTTAGGCACTAAAACTTTAAAAAATTTAATTGCTATGAATGGATGGGAGAAAAATGCAAAGTATTCTAAGGCAATCTACAAGTCCATTAGGTAACAACTTTAAGCCTCTAATCTAAAATGAAGAAGTGTTGCAAAAGAAATGAAGAGGGATTCATTTTCTATTTCATTGCTTCCATAAATTATTTGGCACTCTACCCATATAAGAATGAATGCTACCTAGATTTTTAACCTGTATTTTTCTTCTATCTCTCTACTCACACTTCTAATTTAAGGATACAGATGGGTGCCTTTGCTTCCACAGCTACAAAAAAAAAAAAAAACTCCCCTTTTCATCTATCCCAGTTTCACTGTCTTCTTATTAGCCTCTTCTGAGGTAGGAAATTAATGGCTTGGAATCAAGAGCCCAATTGAAAATGTCATCAGGGAGAAACCTAATCAAGATTCCCAATGAAATTTACCTCAGTCCTTATTGTTATATAGTACAAAGTCCTAGTCATAAAATATTTCTTTATTCTAAGAAGGTAAGTATTAGAAGAAAAGGCTTTTCAAATTAACTTAAATTTTTAGCCACAGAAAATAAAGTTTCTAAAGAAAGTTTGAATAATGCCTTTAGAGACCTTAAGATCAAGAAGCAAGATGTGGCATGAGACCTAGATGAAAGAAAAGGGGGTGCAACAAACTGGGGATACATCCTAAATGACAGAATATATACAATGTCAAATATATATGAGGGTCATCAACATTTACAGTCAAGGCAGAATTCCCACTCAGGAAAATAATCAATAGTGAAAAGTTTTGCAAATAATAAAAGAGCATGAGACACTGAGGACAGGGCAGAATCCCAATAATCAAAATATTGGTAAGTACAAAGTTCAAAATAGAAAAGTAACACATAGTTCCCAATTTTTTAAAAGTATGCCAGAAGAAATCACTTACCTCATCATAATAAACTCTCAGTTCTGCTCTTTTAGATTTCAAGTCCCAGAACACTACAGTACCATTTTCATAACCTATTAATAGCTGGAAAACATTAAAACAACCATTTTCTTAATTATGACTTTAATTTTAATTGTGTTCAAATAAAAATAATGTTAATACAGAAAAAATCGTGCTATATAACACAGCTTGATTTATAATGCTAACTTTTGTATCACTTGATTATGTTTCCCACATTTGAAATTTTTCATCACAAATATTTTACATGTAATAATTAAAAATAAAGAACCAATAACCCATGATTCAACATAAACATTACCAGAGAACTCTGTTGCATTCTAAAGAATTGAGGAAACATGTAAATACACGTGATATAACATTAAAAAAATGAAATTTGAAAGAAAATGGGGTAGAAAATGAAGAAAATGATGAAGTGTTATGTTTAATTGATTACTAATATGCCATTTAGTGTTATCTATTTGAAAAGTGTGGACACAAATTCTTTTAAATTTCTTTATATCAAATCCATTTTCTTTGAGTCAATATTTTAAACTGATGACTTATTGAACCTTCGGATGATCATAAAATTCTAGTTCTCCATTTTATTAACAATAGCTGATTATAGTTCATATTGTCAACTTGACAGGACCTAGAAGTACTTTGGAGATAAATCTGTGGGCATCTGTGAGGGCTTTTCTACATTAGATTCACTAAGGTGAATAGATTCACATCAAATGTAGTAACACCATGCCATGGGCTGGAACCACAGACTACCTAAAAAAGAGAAAACTGGCTAAGCACGAGCATTGATCACTTACTACTTCTTGACTGCATGTAATGAGACCAGCAGCCTCACGCTCCTGTCTCCATGCCTTCTCTGTCGTGATAGACCTCCCCTCAACTGTGAGATGCAATAAACTCGTTTCCACAGTTGCTTTGAACAGGTATTTTGTTGTAACAAGGAAAGCAACTAATACATTGATATTTGTTTTTAAATCAATATATAAGATACTTGAAAGATAATAATCTTCCTTTAAAATAGAAGAATTGGAAACTGGTAAAAATTTAAATATTATCAAAGCAATGTATTTTAGACTTTTTTTTGTGTCTTTTTGAAACAGGGTCTCCTTGTAGCTCCAGCTGTCCTGGAACTCACTATGTAGACCAGGCTGGCCTTTAACTCACAGAGATCCACCTGCTTCTGCCTCCCGAGGGCTGGGATTAAAGGCGTGCACCACCATGCTCAGCTTTAGACTTATTTTAAGTTAGACTTACTTTTTTAAGTGATAGCATAGAACTAAATGCTTACTTATTATGCTACATATGATAATATTTAAGTTTATTTGACAAAAAGTTGAGCTTTCTCACATGCTAACTTAGAGCAAACCATTTGCTAAAATTTAAAATGTCAAAATTACACATAGTTCAATATTTCCTAAAATAAAATTCACATAAAGTCTTATGTACAATAGCAAAATACCTTTTAAATACAAGTCAGTTTTTGCACACATGAAAGAAAAAGATAAACAATAAGACAAATTTCTATTGAATGTGGGAGACTATGATTTGTTAGTCTAAAACGGTTGGAAAACATCACTTGAAGAAGAAAATTAATAACATAATCCTTTCAAATTTCAGCCTCAGATGTATCGAGTATCATTTACAAAATACTGTCATATTTTAAAAACTGAATATCTGAAAGATAAATGTTGCTCTGTATAGAAAACATTATTAGCAATAGCTGTAGTAAAACTTAAGATATGAAATATTGGATCAAAATACCTTAAATTATTGAGATAACTATATAAGAATATAATGCAGAAAGTGTGATATTAGAATCATTTGGAAAATTAAGAGGAAAACAAGGACACATTAGACAAGGTCATTCTAAGTCTGAAAAAGCATGACAAAGAAACCCCACTGTATAGCCACATGGGGGGAAAATAATTACAATGCTCACTTTACAAATCTTCTAAGTATGAGGCTGGAGAGATGGCTCAGTAATTAAGAGCACTTGTTACTCTTCCAGATGACCCAAGTTCAGCTTCCAGCTACCATGTTGGGCAGATCACAACTGCCTGTAACTCCAGCTCCTAAGGCATCTGATGCCTCTGGCCTCCATGGACACCTGCACTAATGTGAGCACACACACACACAGGCACACACATATACACATGATTGAAATTAAAAATAATTTCTTTAAAGATCTACAACAAATAGTCTATGATTTTAAAAAATATATTTCACAACTGAATGTAAGTACAATAAAGGGAAAGAACTAGGGTGACCTGTTCATTATTCTATCATACACTGAACTATGTGAGAATAGTTGTTTGAAAGGTAAATGTTAAATTCCAAAGAATCAAAATCACATGAAATAAAATAAAAATTCAGTGAAAATGCTTTGGAAATAATAATAACTCTAAATAGGTAATGCACAAAAGGAAATAATTATATTTTTAATATTGAAAGAAATAAAAGTACATATGATGTAATAAAGCTTATAGCACACAGATGAACTTAACTGAAATTTATACTTTTATAAATACACATTAAAAGAAGAAAAACTTAAAACGATTTCATGATATAAGCATCTGACTTTAAAGACAATATAAAGAGTAATCTCAATAAAAAAAAAAGGAGGAACTAATCCAAAAGCAAATGGTATTTTCATTTATTCACTTGCAATTCCACCTCTTTCAAGAAAATTAGAAATTTTCTACCTACCGACTTTCTTAGCATTGTACCTATAATTTTATTTATTTATTTATTTATTTGCTAATTTATATGGGATCTTCTCTTCATTATCTTTTCTAAATGGCTAAGATTTCTAAGGCTGTACTTTAAAATGAAACCTTGAAATTCTAGGGTGAAAGGAGAGAAAAAATATTCCAAGCAAATGGCACTAAGGAATAAGCCAGTGTTGCAATTCTAATATCTGACAAAATAGACCTCAAATTAAAATTAATCAGAGGAGATAAAGGTCACTTCATTTTGATCAAGGGAACAATTGACCAAGAAGATATTATAATCATGAACAAATATGCACCAAATTCTGATGCACCCAATTTCATAAAGAATACTACAGAACTTCAAGACACAGATTAAACCCAACTCAGTAACGCTAGGTGACTTCAGTACATCACTATCTCCAGGTCAATTGGACAAAAACAAACAGAGAAGCATATGAACTCAATGATATCATATATCAAACGGACCTAACAGATATCTAATGAATATTCCACGCAAGCACCAAAGAATTGTACTCAGCAATCTATGGAAATTTCTCTAAAATTGACTACAACCTGAGTATAAAGCAAACCTCAACAAATAGAAAAAAACTGAAAAAAAATTCCATGTATTCTATCAGACCACAACACAATGAAACTTAAAATTAACAACAAAAAGAAGCCCTAGTAGCTACATGAAGTCATAGAGATTAAACAATACACTCCTGAATGATGCATGGGTCAAAGAAGAAATTGAGAAGGAAATAAAAGTATTTCTAGAACTAAATGAAAATGATAATACAACACACACACACACACACACACAAAAACCCTGGGACACATTAAAAGCAGTCGTAAGAGGGAAGTTTATAGCTCTAAGTACCTATATTTAAAAATCAGAAAGAGCACAAATAAATTACTTACAGATCTCCAACCAATATTACTTAAATTATTTAAAAAGATAGAAAAAGAGGGTGAACTCTCAAACTCCCTCTATGACATGATAATCTATTATTAAAACCAGGAAAAGGCACAATAAATTTTTAAATGTGATATTAATTTTTTGAGAATTTCACATATGGATACAATGTACTTTTTTCATTTTTTTACTTATTGATTTTTTGTGTATTTCATATAGAACATCCCAAACAATCTTTATACCCACATCCCAAATGCAATTCTCTCATAGCCCCCCCCACCAGAGCCTATATACTCTGTCATCCCTGTTACTGATCACTGTGTTATCAGTACCCCCAGCCATTATCCAGTGCTAGTCCATCTGCTGAGTCTAGTCAACCTATCTAGAGTTCCTTGTTTAGCTCTTCCTCATCCAGCAGCAATCAGTTGCCAACATTCCTTTAGATAAGATTGGGGTCTGTTGTTCATTTTCCCAATTCTATGCTGGGTCACTGTCGGGGAGTCTCTTGGGCTACCCTGGCCAACAACTCAAAGGAAGGTATCTCCTGTCTGGCTCAGAAAAACAATTTGCCTTATATGTGGATCCTAGCACCAAAACAAACAAACAAACAAACAAATAAATAAACGACAACAAAAAACCAAATATGTTCTGCCTCATATATGGATCCTAGCACCAAATCCTTATAAGTGAGTATGTATCCAGACATAACTACAATGTATTTTTTATATAGTCACTCTTTAATCCCAACTTCCCCAGCCCCTTGTCTAATGTTCTTTTATTTTTATTGTTTTGTCTTTAGAAGTTCAATTAAGTGCTTTACATTTTCTGTAGTGCATAGATGAAGGTGTGGACGAGTAATAGAAAAATGATGGACAATCTCTTGATGTCATGTCTGAGAGTGGGAAAGGTCTACAATCAGGATCTGAGTGCCCAGGACCACATGTGGAGTGAAGAGCTTAGCTGTCCATCAAGGGATGTGGGAAGTCCACTCTTGAAAATCAGTTCTCCCAAGACTAGAAACTGAAAATAGCAGAAACCTATCTTGTCCCCCTCATAAGCCTAACAAAGAGGCAAAGCCACTGCCACGCACAACTTGGGACCTTAGAGGAGGATGTTGTAGGGGATGCAGCCACTCAGAGAAGTCTGAAAATGCGGCCTCCACCCTCCAATATGCTACACCATCAGCCCACCACTGGAGGAATGTGAAACCATGGCACAGGATTGGGGCACAGCTCCAGGATCATGGAACAGAATGTTGACTTTTTAAGCATTCCAAATATTTTACCACATAATCTAAAAGAGATTAATTAGCTCTTCTTTAGCTCTTCTTTTTCTTTTTAAAAATACCTATCATGATTTATTGTGTTACATTACTAAATTATTCTATGGTGTTAAAGATACTGGTGTAGATCCCGACCTCCTTCTAGCCCTGGGCA